TAAAAAAAAGTTAAGAAAAAGATGGAAGAATCAGAACAACTTTTTTTCATCATAGAGTTGGTTTTTTTTTAAAGAAAGAATCTGGATATGAAGGGGGGTTATAAAATGAACAACAACAAATGAAGGAAAGGTGGAGAGGAGAAAGAAGTTATGTATTCTGTAATACTGAAATGGAAGGATAACACTGAGATAATGGGCCAGATCCAAACTCCTATTGGTTAATCCTAGGTTCACTGAAATCCAGAGGACAAGTTAGCAATGAATTAATTGAAATGCCTTTGATTTTCCTTTGCAGATGAGGCAAGGGCATCAGGGCAGGGGGTGAAAATGTTAAGATGGTTCCAATGAGTTTGTAATCAAAGCCATACCCTATTTTTACAGACATTGCACATAACATTGCTTTGATCACTTACTTATAGCTTTCATTTTGACTTTTTTTGACACCCTTTGTGGATGCCCAGAAAGTAGCCATTGCCATTCTGGGCTTTCATAAGGTGAGAATATTTTGTTTTTGCATGATGACACAGACAATTTTAAAAGAGAACAAAATTTAAAGGAGACAACTTAGTTGCGATAGCTAAAAACATAACTTTCATATTCAGGGACTTTAACCTGATGAGTTCCCAAACTGTATCTCCTCAAATCCAAGCCAGAATTTTAAGTCAGTTTTGCTGTTTCAGACCCAGTCCCTGGATTTTGTACTGCCCTCTTCTCCCTCAAAAGTAAGTGGTGTTTAATTAGATTACCTAGCAAACACTCAAAACTCCAACATTATATGTCAGGATTTAATATTAACAGAGTGACTAAATTTTCCTAGAACATCTGGCCATCTGTTTACTGTTAAGCAACAATATGCCATATTAGATGAATTATTGATTGGATGTCTCTGATCAGCCACCTCGTTTTCCTGATAGCCCTACTTTCTGGAAGGAGGATGTATGTTTATCTTGCAAGTCTGCAACTGCCCCTTCCTCCTTGGTTGAGGTGAGATTGTTCAGACGGTAGCAGAGAGAAGCATGTATGAGAATGAGAAAGTTAGGGATGTCCAGTTCTGATACTGGTGTTCCCCACTGGGTTCCCTCTCAAGCTGGTTCTCAGCTGGAAGATATAAGGAAAAAGGGTGCACTGAAAGGAATTTACTTTTGACTTGATCTATGCTTTTTCCTAGTTCAGTTTCTTGAAATACTTTCAAAAGACCCACAGGGGAAGAAGAGGGAGGGTGAATTAACAAGTAGGGAATCTGTGGTCAGTTTAGGAAATTTGCCAGGCTGATTGTACAGATGCTTTGTTTGGATAATATACAGATTGGCCCTATTCCCTGATTTTTGTATGAACAGGCACCCTGCCATTTTTAGTTTGGATTACTTCCCCTGCTTCCCACAGTAGGGAACTTTTATTTCGCCCATCCCTTAGATTGGTACTATTTAGATGTGTGGACCTCAGCTTCCAGAATTCTCACTAACATCCATGTTGGCTGGGGAAGGAGTTGCAATCCATGTCTGAAAGATACACAGTCTGGGGTTGTTTTATTCTGAAGAGTTGTACTCCTCCTCTCCCCAATTTTTAAAGTAAAAGAGTAATTTGCAGCCCAGCTGGAAATAAAGTCACTGTAAAACAAAGTTGTGGCTTCTAACTGTAGGGGTGGAATGACTTACCATCCAGAGATGAAGTGGAGGACCTTGAGCTCTCAGAACAGGGGTTGTTCAAACCATTAACTCCTGAAAAAGTGCTGGAATTGGCCTGAGGCATCTTATATTTGAAGGAACTGGAGCAACCTCTGGACAATTGAGTAACAGTCTCAGTGTCTTCCAGGCGACCATTAATGAGCACTATAGGGATTGGGAGTGGGGAATTTGTAACAGATGAAGAGGAGTAGCTGTGGGTCTGTCCTTTCTGGTATGGCTGAGTTAGAGGAAAATTATCTTTCTGGGAGCATGTGGCTGTGGGGAAGGAAGAACCTGTTCTGTTGGATGTAACATAACAGCCTGGCAAGGATTCAACAGAGGAGGGGCTTCCCATTGACCTAGTTGGAGGTGTGTCAGGCTCATTGTTGGACAATGATTGGATGCTGTTGCTGCAAAAGAAAAACAAAATACAGAAGTGTTAAGGAAGACTAGACTTGTACTACTATTCATTCTAAATATCCATATAGCAGCAAATGATGTGTGCTAGGTGTGCAAGATTTTAGAGCTCTCTACTGGTGTCCAGTATGGCTAGGCATTTTTAAATGAATAACAGAAACTCACCCAGACCAAACCACTGTTCCATCTCCCCAAGTGATCAGCTGATTAGTGTTTTTCAAAATAGCCATCTTTTTAAAATTCTAAATTGAAACAAGTGGAGACAGATGATATTTCTTTGGGAAGGGCACATTTTAATGATATTCCTCAACTAACTGATGAGGTGTCATCAAGAAAATATGTTGTCTGCTCTGTATCATCCCAGAATGCAAGACACCAAATAATGGTTTTAAGTTACAGGAAGGCAGGTTCCACATGAACGCCAGGAAAAAACCCAAACAATATGAGAGTTTGGCTGTGCAGCCAATTTCCTAGAGAAGTGGTAGGCTCCTCAGCAGTGGATGTGCTCATTAAACCTACAGGGAATGCTTTTATTTGAATTCCTGCATTGAATCCAATGTGGAAAATCAAATCCATGTTCCTGATATGCTTCCTGGGACCTTTCCTAAAGGCTCTGCTATTATGGATATTATGGACTTCTGTGAAGACCAACAAACAACTTGGTGCAGGAAGCCAAAAATGTGCTCAATGGCAAATTGTGCAGATGAGTCTGTAGAGTACTCTCTTGCCCTGGAGGTGAGAAAACACTCCTAAAGGCAGATGAATCAACCTGATTTGGCCAATGACATAGAATGTGGAAGTGATTAAGGCTTCACTACATCTTTCTATTCCAACCTTCTAGAAGGAGAAGGCACTTGAATGGAATGAATAGAACTGAACAGGCATTGGACTCAGAGGCTTATATAGCCCATTCCAGCTCTAAGATCCTTCTGCTGTATTCAAGCAGCAGGTATTTGGTGCATTAGCTGCTTTGCATAGGCATCAATTGATTTGGCTCCTGGCATTTCCCAACCTTCATTTTATAAAAATGATGCTTAGTTATTTTGACATAGCGAGGGATGCCAGGGAGCTAAAGGTTTTGGCTCTGCTCAAGGAAAAGAGCAGAGCAGCTGCGCTGAAATACACCTTCCATCACCAGGGACAAGGTAACATACCCCAAACAAGTTGGTGGGCAAAATCTACTTTCTTCTGTCACTCCCCAGCCCCAGTTCATCTTCTCTAGCCACCATATCTAAATGTGAGTTAGAGGCAGTGGGACTAGGCCAAGGTGCCTTTGGGGGGCCTTGCTCTGCTTTGGCTGAGTTTTTCCTCACTGCCACCATATTCTCCTGCCATGTTGCTATGTGTTTCTTCCTGTGCTGGGTTTCTCCTTCTCCTTTCATCCTTCCTGCCCAACAGCCTTAGTCTTCTTGTGAGCCAGCACTGTAAAGCAGCTCAGGCAATGGTGCTTAGCTATGGAGAAAAGTGAAGTAATCACAAAGAGTAACTCCTTTCACAGAGCTCTAATTCCAAAATGGCAGCTGGATGCTTGGGATCCTACTGTTGATCTGATTCAAAATTTGTCTATTCAAGCTTAAAACTGGATTTTAAGATGGATTTTATTTTCTTTTGATAAGTAGACTTTTTACCCCCAAACCACCTTCCTCTTTTGTTGAAAGATTAATTATAAGCATCGCCTTCTCCCTAAGGATCTTTTTTAAAAAAATAGTATTTAATAATTCCTGAAAAAATTGGATTTTGCTCCAGCTTGGTAATGCCTCTGCCTTGTACATGGATGGTGTTGTTTTGGCTGTGGATTTGTTTGAGTTAACAATTAGTATGCAGTCTTCCTTGCATTTACCTTCCAAGAACGTAACTGGTGTCCGACCCAGGACTTGTTGAAAGCACAGATGCCTCACTGCACCGCTGTGCTATCCTCCTGAGCTGTGACAACTTCAATACATTCTCAATGCCTGGGGAGGAAGCTAGGGAAGAATTTGAGCCACAGGATGCAAAGTTCTTCTGATCTTGTTGTGGAATGGAGATACTCTCTGACACTTGGATGCAAGTTGGTGACTGTCTTCCTGTGGGGGAGAAACGCTGTGGGCTTCCAGAAATATAACCAATAGTGTCACAATTATATCCGAGGTTGCCTCCAAGTGGAAATGAACGGCCCCAGTTTGGGGAAGACACAGAAAATGGAGTGCTGGAAGGACTTCCTGACTTCTGCCAAGACTCTTGATACTTGGTTTTTCCTGGTGACATTTCAATATATTTTATGTCTGGTAAAAACAACAACAGAAAATAAGACAAACCTCAAGAGCAACAAGATCAACTACAATTCAAGATTGCTTACCCTTTATGTTCAAATAACCCTAAATTATATGTATGCTTCTGCATAGACACAATGTTGTTCCTCTACTGCATTTACAAATCAACAGATATATAAAAGCAAACTTTAAATACTTTCAAATACTTATACAGTAATACCGCAGTTCACGAACGCTTCTGTTCATGACCAATTCGGTTCGTGAACAGCAGCGTTCGCAAATTTTTGCTTCCGTTCGCGAACTCCGCATCGGGGTGACGAACACGACCCGCGGCCATCTTCCCTGCTCTGACACGTGGTTGTGGCTTCCTCTAGGCGAGATTGCGGTCACAGACAGACACTTGCTGTGAAACTTTTTGGGGTGCTTTTTAGCACATGCAGTGCATCCAGCACGGCTCCAAAGA